GTCGTGTATATACGACTCAACATTCCTTCGTTTGCCAGAGTCACATACATTGTACCTGAATCGAAATGTTTTCGCGAAGTGAAGTAGGTTGCCTGAAATACCCGTGATTGGTACAACTTTGTATCGCAGTATTAGATGTTGAATCGTGGTTTTTCCCTTGAACTAAGGAATTAATTACAGTGAATAATCATCAAATGGGCACCTCGTCGCCATATATATCATGACATGTGTTTTACGGAATACGTTTCACAATATATATATGATGACGAGACGACTGAGCTTAAGGGAATATAATTTTCAAAATGTCACGAAAGTCACGGGACAAGTCCTTCCAGTCTATATTTTATAGGAACACTAAGCGACAATCGCAATGCTTGTTTTTCTAACTAGCATATTGTTTGCTCTCAGCACCATGATGCGGGCGACGAATCATGCGAAAAGGAGTGGCTGAAATTGTTCACTCTAATCTATGAGCAACTTAGTACTGAGATCGAATCTGACCTGAAACAGTGCTTACCCATGTGAACATTTTCTTATATTGGATAAACTGGCATAGCCTGGATGCTGAGGTTTGCTCTTGACAAAATGCAAGTCAATTTAATTTGCAAATAAGCATCACCCTCGCTAATTTATGATTTTTGTTAAATAGAACAAAGTGGTATTTCATGCTCTACTCAATTCGGAAGCTACCTAATTGGACACTTTCTGAGAGTTTAAGTGTGCAATCGTCATAGTTCCACCACTCGTTCCAGTAAAAAAAGGCGATAGTAAAAACACATAAAAAACGCGATAATAAACTTCTATATATTTGAGAAGTTATATATGCGTGAGGAACACATATAGTTATTTAAATTAGCTTCAAAATAATAAAAAAAAACATTATTTATATCTTTTCAAAATCACCTATAACGTGTCTATAGAGGATAAAAGCGCCGAAAAATATTTGCCGAACATCTTTCAGATAATTTAAAGGCGCATTTACTTATATATCTTGGAGGTGAGAATCTTCTATTTATGCTGCCAAATCTTCAGACAGGAATTAAGTATATTTTTATTATCATCGATAAATTTGACTTTATGAAGTTCACATAACCGCCTGAGACCGACACGGAAGGACGATACTCGAAAATACGCCAGCTGTTGTGTCTTCGGCAACGTGTTTTTGTTAGCTGTTTTGCAGTGTAAACTAGTGGGTTGCAGGGCATGCCAAAAAACACTGTGGTCACATGATATATCGGAAGGCAAATACACGAAATGTGCAGAAATAAGGAGATGACACGCAATTTTTTTCTAAATAATCCCTTACACAACGCTTTACTGCAAAAAGAAATGCATAGAAATGCATAAAATGATATTCCTAATTAAACATAGATTCCGCGCAGGGCAAACAAAGATTTTTTAGAATCCTAATATAAATCACTTTTGGGCATCAGCTTGCCTCAGCTCGAAACGTCGCGGGATACTACCTCGGGAGGCTAATGTTATCTTAGGTTTTACGTGCACTTGTTTTGAGACCTTACTTCATGACTCTGTTCTTTATCAGTCATGTGCTCCAACATTTCATTAGGCTGCCGTATATCATCGCGAGACTGCTATAAATACTACACAACTTTACACATTGGACGTCTACTGCTGGTGTTGCGAACGTCGCACTTCACCAGAAAGCTGAAGTATTTAACATGGTTTGCACGTGACGTAATCGCACTAGATACTGGTTGACATTGCGAGTTGTTCTTGCTGAGAAAATCAAATCCGGTTTGGCAAAATGCACGCTGCAAAAGTTTCGCGCTCAGTGCAAGCTATGTATTTGAGAGGCACACATTTTTCTTGTTGGTACATCGTCGTTAGGCACGGCGCGAGTATCTGGCACGACGAAAACGTGCTTTCTGGCAAGAGTGTTTTTACAAATAAAAGTTGTACCAACTACCCATCTGTCACTATCGTTTCCAGGCCACGCTTTCTAGTCTGCGCCGAAAATGTGGGGCAGAGGAATCTTTACGACACAGTATGCTTTAAAACTACCCCCCTCCCCACTCCCTTTTTTTTGAGTTGCTCCTCAAGATACTTTTTATTCCTCAGGGATTGCCTGCTCCGTATTGAGTGGTGTTCACTCGACAATTATATTTGTGTCACTTGTTAACAGTAATTCTTCCTTGCTTTAACTTTGCACCAAACTGTGAAGGTTAAACAAAATACAGGGCGGTCGAAACTTGGAGAACTTGAGAGCGACACTCCTGTGAGACTTAGAGCGGCTGCCAACGTTCGGCTATCCCCGTGAGGCCACTAGGATCTTTCTTTTCAGGTATCCCTCCCGTACACACTAATAGTTCCATGTAACGTCCGACTAATACGTCACATTTAGACCCTTGAACACTTCTATTCTTGGGACAACTTTCTGAGGCAGTTCAGCAATAACGAAAACATGTTTGGGAGCCTCAATGGTGTGCATACACGTAAAATGGGTCGTGCAGCATCTTTTTTTTTTTTTTTACCTTAAGTTCAATAAATACCGCTAAGTTGTAATCCTTGACGTTGATAACTTGCAAAAGCATCCATTAGTTTGCCCCTCCGCGAAATGGCAGGCAGTCGAAAGAAAGAAATGAAACAGCTTTCCCCTCCTCAACTCACAATTAGAACTATATCAGCCACGTGATCTGATCCTAATATATACACCGTCAGTGTTTATCATAGTCAAACGCAGGGTTGGCAAAGCATAGAGCATGGGCTGATCTTCAGATATAGCTTTAGTTGGGCTATAGTGCCCGAGCCCCACTAAAGCGACAAACAGAAACAAACGACAGCGGCTAGCCTTAGACCAGAGTATTTCGCGATTTGACAGGCTTTGTAGAATAAAGAAGGCTATGCTCAAACACGAGTATCATGCACACGATGGTACCATTTGCAGGCTTGTAAACACTCGTGCTAACTTCGCGAGTACCGAACAACTCAAAGCCGTATAAAGGCACCATCGCGAACATGCTGCATGTGTCTGAGGCTTGTCGCTTTCGTTTGTTTCTGTTTCTAGCTCTAGTGGGACTCGGGCCCATCATAATCTTTGAGTTGAACACGAGCGTTACCCGAATGTTTGGCGATACTGGTTGTCATGAACCAGAGCATTTGACTCGGGATCATGACAATCGGGTACATCATGGTGTCACGTGACTCTCAGTGTGAAGTTGTGATGTCATGTGACGTCACGGTATCAACAACGTTAATAGATCTAGCGACGTCCTCAATTCGAATGGACTTAACGCGGTGAGTCACGTGACGTCACGGGGTCACGTGATGTGACATTACTTGACAGCATGTCTTGACATCATAACGTCACGTGACATTGTGACACATGGCTAATCATGTGCCAATAAGAAAGCGCCGCAAAAAACCAGGATTTATTATACATTGCAATTCTGTATATGACGATTTGATCAATACGTAGAGGAATACACGTGCCAATAATAATAAATTTGTAATACTAACAAAAAAAATACCGTGAACCGTTTTGAACCGGTTACCGTTATATTTTTTTCCGGTTCAGTTCCGGTTCAGTTCCAAGATGGCGGCGAAGATTTCGGTTCGGTTCAGTTCCGGTTCGGTTAAAAATAACGGTTCTGTTCCGGTTTTCGGTTCGGTTCGGTTCCGGTTCGACACCCTGCCCACGAGTGCGCTGCGGCGAAGTGAGGCACGCAAAATCGCGGTGCCTACCTTGCTGTTCTTGCTTCACTGCAGCACACCAGTGCGCGGCGAGAAGCGCCCTCAATGAAGGTAACTAACCCGCCAGAACGGGAATCGAACCGGGGTGAACAAATGTGACAGAGCATAAAGCCAACACGGTCATCACCTTCCGACCGCGTTCCTCGTTCGCCGGCTGTTCAGCGCTTTACGTAAGCTTTCAATTTGGTTTTCTGCCGGCTTCAGAATGGCTGATCAAAAGGCTCAATATGAGCGCGTCTTGAGTTCAAACGGACAAAAAGGTGCGATGCTACGGGAGCGTCTATAGAGACCATCTCGCTGCTGACAAACAAGCCGAAGTTTGCGACCACCAGGTGTGAGCAGTGTGCTTGCCCAGGAACCAGATGCAGCTCCACCGCAGACGTGTGACGTTTGCGGGGGCGATGCATCGGCGTATAGAGCCAGGTTTTTGTTTATTTGTGCAGCAGTCTCTCTAAACAAATGTTAATGCGACTGTGCGAATGCAGTCAACGGTACGCAAGCGCGTTCTTCGGTAAATACCATAGAGAGTGCTTCCCAGTGTAAAAATTGTTACCCATGTCCGATACTTCATCGGTCTGCAATGTTCGTAATGCAAACATTTTAATTCCTTCACAAGACACGAACTGCAAGAAAGCGAGAAAGAGAGAGGGTTGCATTTTTAATAAAAAAAGAAAAGCGGCAGAGGTAATAAACGAGGCCAAAATAATGCACGCCCGTGTTTACAGAAACTATAACGTAGACGCGTGTCCAGAATTATACTACATGACGGTTCTACGCGATTTTCGCCAGGCTGCCTTTTTAGATATTCGACGCACGCCCCACGCGGCGCGGGCGTCGTTTGATATCCTGTCAGCACGAGGCAGGAAATATAAAGCACCCCAGCAGACCCAGGTGCCATATGCGTCGCCGGTGAGCTCGCTACGGCACAATGAGGGGAACCAGACGGGTCTGAACGCAGTCTTGAGCCGCCCATAAATCAAATGCTACCTTATCCTCGACTCCAAAAGCCCCACCAAATCCCGCCGCGGCTATGCAGCCTAGGAGCCGGTTAGCCTCTCTCCCTCCATCTTTCCTCCCATGCGCAGCACTTGACCGTACTCTCCCAGAAACAGCGTCTCTCTAGCGCTCCATCATCATAAGATGAAAGAAAAGGAGGAGAGAACCCCTGACGAGGAGAAGAGCACGCTCTCCATCCCCGACCAATCACAGCGATGCATCGTTAGCTACGCGCGCGCCCTCGTCCGGAAAGAACGCGAAACAGTGCCGGCTAAAACGAAACCAAACAAAACGAAGCTTTCCATCCCAGGAGCGTGGCAGCGTGAGCCGCGCGTAGTGCGGCTGTGCGGGATCCGTTTTTGACGCGAAGCCGCGGTTTGTATTGTCAAAGCGGCGGCGGCGACGCGTCCCGTAGTTCCGACGCGGATTCGACGTCCGAAATCATGTTTCCCTGTGGATAGAAACAGAGAAGAGCTTCGCCGATGTCAGCGCCGGCGCGGCGGCGTCAGCGTGCTTCAAAATGGTCGCTGCTGCTGCTGCGCTCCCCGAGGCGAGCAACGCCGTTGTTTGAAGTGCCTGCTCTGGATTTCGCCTCCTGGAACGCCGGCATCGGTTCCTTTATCTGAGGTTGTGCGGTGCGTGCAACATTCGGTTCTAGGCGTTCGCGTCGCCTCCTCTCTGGATTACCACTGCGGCGCCGTGGTCTGTCCGTGGTCGCCGCCAGCGTCGTCGCCTTCGATAACAACTGGAGGACATCCAACGTTTGCCGGTAAGTTGGCAAGACACCGCCGACGGCGCGGTCTTTGAACTGCGCGCGGTTACTCACTTTTCTTGACGTGGACTGCTGATGTGGCCATGGCTACCGAGTCGTTTGCCCACTGTATTTGTCGTTCCTTCTCTTTTTTGCTTTGTTTAGGAGCGACTGTAGATTTATGCCAAGCATTTCCAGGCAACCGGCGCAGGGAGAGCTACTTCAGTCGTCCGCCCTCCAGCGAGAGCTTCTTACCTTCGATAATGCTCCCACGTCTCGTGAGCTTTGAACACCCACACGTGGCCCAAGCACGACGGAAGTCATGTTGCACGCGAAGGGGGCGGATCTTCTCTCGCAGATCTTACGCTGCAATGAGCTATATGGATATATGCCTCTTCCCCTCACACTCTAATGGGTGGTCTGGTCCCAAACGTAAATAAATGTATTTATTCCAACTCACGAATCACTTCGAGGTATACAAAGGTTGTTGAACATCTACGCAAAGGTCAAAGACTACCGCCAAAAGCACGCCAGGAATTTTTTCCCGGGTGATGGATTCATCGTTTACACGCAAAGAAACAAAACCGCGTCAGTTCAAAGGAAAGCGATCGTTTCCCTCAAGTTTAGTTTCCGATTGAATACGCCACGCAGAAAAATTGACGTAATGCGTAACTGACGGAATAAAAACGGCGGGGCGGGTGTTTGGAACTCTCCAGCGCGCGCTCCACGCTTTCCGTCGTGCTTCTGCTGCGTGGCGCGCTCGAAACGCACGAGACGCCGACGCCTTGCCGATGGTAGGAGGCTGGTGCTGGAGGCGGGACATTTGACGCTCTTCTCTGTCGCGTTTTCACCTTGTCGGTGACTGTACAACACAAGAACATATCGCTCAGGCATATATGCTTCCAGGTCATCACACTCAGGCTCGAATGGAGACACAGGCGACCGAAGATCACCGAACATACGCCAAGAAGAGAAAAGAGACAGAGAGATAAAAAAGACAGCATAAACGTGATCACGCGAATTTAAATGCAAACCTGTATGGATCGGAAATGTGTGCCGAACATAATGAGTACAGCGCGACCAATATGCTCAGAAGAAATTAAAAAAAAAAAATAAAAGACTCCGGCTCGTGATCGTCGAACGTGTCCTTCGGTCAAACCAATCGCGCGAACGAAACGGCAGGGTCCCCTCGCGGTTGCTGTGCTGGTTAAGGCACCGTCGACCGCTGCTCGGAAAGAAGTGGGCCAGTCGCTGCGTCGGTCGTGCCTTGGCGGGGGGCGGTGCATGACCGATGGACAGAGTACGTCGACGCGACGCGGCATGCACCGGCCAACACTGCAGCTGCGCGATGTGTTCTTGGGGGGGAGCTCGTTTTTCTCGGCGCCGTTCCTCTCGGGACGATTTGCTGCCTCGTTTCCGCCGACGGGCGTCCTCCTTTTCTTGTTCCCAGGGTGCACCCCGTACACCTAGCGTGTTGTTCACGTACTCGACTGAAGAACTGTCGGAAGCAGGGTTCTTTTTCACTTTTCTCCGAAGGGCAGCTTTTGTCCCTTTTTAACAGATGTGTTAGGTTAATCGGTCTCGACAAACGGGCTCCGTGCCGCGATATGTTAGCGTTTGCTTCGATGGAAAGTAGGGACGAAGCATAGAAGCGGTGGGAGCGCACAGAAACTCCACTCACTGACAGGTTAAGGGTCACGTGGCGTGGCGGGTACCCCCCCAGAGAGTCATTATAATCGACGCTAGAGGTTCAACTGGCGCTAGTGTCTACGCGAGTAGGGTGGAAAGTTGGGCTAGTTGGTAGTTATTCATCTTGGTTTTAAAAGCGCACAAAAGACGAGGACAGAGTAAGAAACACAAACGATGGACGAGCGCTCACTCGCAACTGATAGGTTTTATTGGAACCTCAGGAAACACTGTCTTACTCTGTCCTCGTCTTTTGTGCACTTTTAAAACCAAGATGTCTATGCGACTTCCGTGACGCAAATTGATGCAGACAACAACCAGTCTACTTTTGCGGTGTTCCTGTGCTTTCCTATGGCAAAACGTTTGCGAATTTTGTCCCTTCGCCAGAAAATAACACGGAACACTTTGGTTATTTCGTCGTACCGAATAGTACGTACCTTAATTAACATTATAAAAGTGTAATTGCTTTAGTCGACGCATTTTGTTCATCAGTGTTTAACTTCGCCACATATCAGTCCCAAACATGTGTTCCGCAGCAGGTGTGTAAAAACAAGCGACTATTCAAAGCAAAACTACAATCAAAAAGAATATAGAGTATGTTCAAGGCTCGCCAGCATTCCGGTGACGCTTTTATATTGATAAAATGCCAGTCCTGCCACTATATGAAAATGACTTCGTCGTGCATGACCGGATAAAACATTCAAAACGTGAAGAATAAAGTACGTGGGCCATGAAAGGTGTCTCTTCGTATTCTTTTCTCTGCCAAGCAGCTTTTATCGGGCACTTGTTCTCGAAGGTTTCGAGCGTTCGGGTGATATTTTGAACATAGAACAAGCATCTTCGCACGGAGCGGAAAGAATAAAGCGGTACTTACTTTTTTTAAAATTGAAATATATTACATGGCCTTCAATTTATTTAGATCGTACATACACGCGGGTAGTTACCGATCCACTGTTACTGCGTAGTTCTTGCCGTCTCCCTTAATTGACGCCGTAAGTGACTACGTCACAACATGGCGTCTCGGTCCAAACAAACCGTTGCTAGGGACGTTGCTATGGACTAATGCATGGAGACTCCACATGAGGCTAGGTTTTTGCTTACAAGTAAGTAAATATTTTTTTGTAAGCAATCTAACTTCTTCATATCTAATTATGAAGACGTTCTTGTCGTCTCAGTGACGTACTGCAGCAATGAAAGCCATCTCTCAAGTATCACACTCCGCTTTGCTTTGGTAGCAGACGACACGATAGATTTGCTGGCCTCTGTTGCAGCGCCGTCTCTGTTGAATTACGTCGGTAAACGAGCGACAAAAACAAATGCATCGCCATGGCCGTAAAAGCTTCCGCAATGTGCGTTTTTTTTTATTTTAATTTTTTTTATATGAAGGACCCAGCTTACTTCAGAGGGGTGAAAATGCAGTAAAATCAAAAGATGTCATGCAGCTCAGTTATGACGACGACCTGAAGTGCATTGCGGGCATAGTGCAGGCCAGCATGAGAAACAAATCGTACGCCGTCGGGGTTGGTCGTTTAATATTATTATTATTGAGGTTGTCAGGTTGTTGAAGAATTGCATGTCTATCGCGATTTCGTAGTATTTTGTTTTTTTCCCCCCTTGGTATACATCAAATTCCGGAGATGTGTTCTTTTGGTGAAGATCTCCATCGAACCCGCTATGCGAGTACAATCTGTAATAAATTCACCATATTTTTTTTTTTATCAGGTTTTTTGGCGCTTTGGGGTCTCAAGAATCTTTCTTCGCGTGATGGTTACAACCATGCAGGTACGAAGCACCCTCCCATAGCGCGAGTGCGCAAACAAAATCTGGGATCTTAACTGATTGCCTGAAGTGCTTTTCTCACGGGTGCAATGCGATCTTTTAGCAGACGATCATCTCGATCGACGCCCAGGCTTTCAATAAACCATATTTTGCATCGCACCCCACTATGAATTCTTATAAGTTTCTGAAACTCATTATATTTCAACCAAATGCAATATCAGAATATCGTCTTTATTCCCACGATTCAAACGACGGTACCGGCTTGGCCGGCCGGCCGGGGTGTGGCAGACGGCATACTTCTTGCATTCGTCGTCTGCTGCAGGCATCTTCAGGACCGGAAGTTGGAGTCGTATATATTTCAGAGACAAGGGATTTCCGGTACACTTCTGTCGAAACATATATGACATACAAGCTTTCTATATATGTGATTTTTAGAAGTTTAAATTCTACTCCTGATTTTTGAGCGGTCGAGTTTTCGTAGCGAAACCTAACCTGTATTTGTCCACAACAATGACAATAGCAACGGTTTGTTTGGACCTATGACGTCACACTTACGGAGTCAATTTCCAGATGTCTTTCGTTCGTTTGGCACGTATATCCCTCATGCTTAAAAGCGCCGACGTTGTGTTCGCGCTAACAGTCTCCGACAGAGCACAAAAATACACGTACGAAGCCGTTTTAGCACCGTTTTACTGCGATTATTTAAAAGAAAAACACCGTAACTGACCAATTATTTCGTCGGCCTGACTGAGAAATGTTCCAAGCTACCTAGTACGTATGAATTATTCGGGATATTTGCTCTTATGATTGAGCGCCAGGCGAAAATTCACTTACTTTTTCCATAGAAATGCATTACCGGAAGTAAATTTTCGACTGGTTGATGTCTGCTTCAACTTGCGACAGCACACTAGCGCCACTTGAACCTCTAGCGTACATTATAATAACTCTATGGTCCCCCCTGCAGCGTCTGGACGGATGGATGAATAAATGTTACTGGGCTTTTATAACGGGCGGTAGCTTGCGCCGCCTAGCCTAAGTTATCATTATCGTTTGGCAGCCAATGAGATTGCGGCATAAGCCGATCAGAACGGCGAAGGACCAATCAGGATGCAAGTAGCGCGAGCGTGATTGGCCATACCCCGCGTTTCTATAAAGGGGCACTGACACACCACGGGTCATATGTTTGTATTTCTTTTTTTGTTGCCTAAAACGATGCAAGTTGTTGTCATAGAATAGACACACAAAAAAGAAGAAAACACGAAACTACAAAAGATTTCTTACCCGTGCGTTCGTCCTTTTATTTTTGGCGCCCTTTTCTCCCTCTTCTCACCTCCTCGCTTTTTATTAATTTATGACGTCAAAAATTATGAAATTTATAAGCTTTGTAAACGACAATTTACACAGAAAGAATAAAAACTCTGAAAATAGACGAGGGACAGTCACTCACAGTTCTTTAAACGAGCAACGACATTTACATAAGCGACGACATTTATTTTCTAGTATTTTCGTCTTCCCTAAATTTCTCCGTGACCAAAGTGGTTTTCGCAATGTGA